GGTCCATGTACAGATTCCTCATGAGCACAATTAAGTGTTCCGGAATCCTCATACTTCGCAATGTTGTCCATAGCTTGTCATGATCCACACAATTGAAAACCTTTGCATAGTCAATAAAGCACAGGTAAACATCTTTCTGATATTCTCTGCTTTCAGCCAAGATCCACTGAACATCAGTAATGATATCCCTCGTAGGGAACCTTTTTTCTGCCAAAATTTACAACATCATTCGCAGGTCATACAAAATTATCAACTTAAAAATTAGCCTGCTATGTTTGGTCAAACATTTAATTAACTCACCCCTAATGTGATGGCTTGGAGTCCTGGTGTGGTCCTGGGGGTTAATGCGCCAGACTGCAAAGCCATTTGAACTGCAATGTCGGCAATTCAAGCTTACCAGATGCTCCTCGGAAACCCTATACAGGGTTGCTATGGGTCGGAACCAACTCGATGGCACTTAATAACAACAATGTGATGGCTTATGAGTCCTGGTGTGGCACGGTGGGCTAATGTGCTGCACTGCAAGGTTGGTTTGAACCATATGGTTGGTGGCTCAACTCACCAGTCACTCCTCAGAAACCCTACACAGGGTTGCTATGAGTTGAAACGGCTGGTGGCCGTGATGACTTGGCAGGGCTAGACCAAATGATTTCATTTGGTCAGGTGTTCTCTACCCCTGGTCTAAGGGATGTGGGTCTCTAGTGGGAGAAGAGCATCTATTTTCTTTCACTCTTCTCCATTTATCTAGACATTTTATTGAGGTGTTGTTTATAATCATACCATAAAGCTCATTCATGTTCAGTGTTGAGGTCCACAAGCTTTAGGAAATCTATCCTTGTGCAAACATTAACATCAACCAGCTTTAGAACGCCTTCATTATCCCCCAAATTCCTTGAGCTGCTTGCCATCAATCCCTGCTCCTATCCCTGGCATGCACTGATCTTCCTCTCTAGTCACTTTTTCTAGAAATTTCATACAAATGGAATCATTCAATAAGCAGTTGTTTTTGTCTGGCTTCTTTCATCTGGCATGCTGGTTTTAATGTATCAGTAGTTAGTTCCTGCACCTTTTTTTGTTTTGTTTTACCTTTCTGCCTCTACCTGTGTTTGTCTGTGTGTCTCTCTCTCACATTTACACTCACAGTACTCTCACATTACACACTTCTCTTTCCTTACTAGATTCTCTCTCTGACCTTTTTCACCCCAGGCCCTGACCTGGCCTCGGATGTAAGTATGACATCACTGGAAATAGGGCCGAAGTGGTGAGCTTTAGGAAATTTATCATTGTACAAACATTATAAATTTTTGTCTGCATGCCAACGAGGTCCCCAGTGGGTGCTTCCGTGGACAATAGCCCATGGGAGGTGGGGGCCCAGGATGTGTCATCACCAGTGGGAGGAGTAGATTGTGAACTGCTGAGACTTTGTTCACAGAGGGCAAAATAAACACTAAACAAAGCTAGGTAAATAAAGTCAGTTTACTGAATATGTGGCTTGATTCCACTGGGGGTGGAGTAAGGCCTAAGGTACCCAGGGCTGCTGGGCCTGCCAGGGCTGTAGCCTTGGGCTCCTAACTGAGGGGCAGCAGCAGGATACCCACTGGGGCTCAACACCCCCAGCTGCTTGGCCCATGCATGCTGTCTGGGACCTGGCTGGTAGCTGATGCTCAAGCTGGGCCCCAAAAGAAAGTGGCAAAAGGGAAAATGCTAACTGCAAACAACTGGTTACCATTTCAGTAAAGAGGAGGGGGAGGGAGGCTTATGGGGATGCAGGAAAAAGTGGCTGGGTAGAGAGAAGTCCGTGTCCAGCCCTCTCGCTAGATGACCCGGCCATTGCTTTGATAAATACTGCTTTCGTTTTCATTTCCCACCTCGGAACCTGGAAAGAAAGAGGGTCTCTTTCAGTTTGTGGAGATTTGTGGGATTTGTCATGGAGGAGCATGGTGTCACTGCCTCCCTCTATGCCCACCTGGAAGTCCAGGGACCAGCCACATACTTGGCTACAATGCCTGGAACTGTGTGGGGCAACTGTTTGTTGAGGAATCCCCAGACTGCCCCATTGATACCATCTTGGTCTCCCCACAAAGCCTAGTGCAGAGAATGGCTGAGTAGCTAGAGGAACCTCTGCCTCTTCTCAGGGAATGTCCACTCACCCATCCACTCCCACTTGCTGGGAGCAGGAGGAGTCCAGGTAGGATCTGAAGAAGTCGTTCTGAGAACGAGTGGATGGAGGCAGAGGGGCATTCGATGGGCAGGAGGACATGATGGCAGGGTCTGAGTGGAGTGGTGAAATGAAGCTTGGGGGACACTTGTTCTTTTCCTACTGGACTGAGTGGGTGCTTCCTGACAGCAGAAGGAGGGCAGGGAGCGGGTGCTAATGGTACCCATCCCTTCCTGGACCCTTTCTGCTTATGCCTTTGGTCTCAAGGAAGTGCCAGACCCACTAGCTGCCTCAGCGCTGTCTTCTCTAATCCCGGGCTGGGCTCTGGTCCAACGTTTGACCTGAAGGCCTTCGAGTCTGCCCTTGTTCCGGTCAGAACAAACCCTCTGGGAGGTATTGTTTCTTTTGCTGGCCTTGGGCTTGGCTATGGCAACTGTTATTCGTGCCAGCTGAGAAGCAGCTGGCAGAGTCTGGGTCTCAGAGACATGTGGCGGCGTTGTCACACCTGGACATACACACAGAGTCTTTCCCCAGCTGCCATTACCTGGGTGCCACTTTTGGCATTTGTGTGGAGCAGGGCTGCCCGCTGAATAGGTCGGCAGGGCAGGGGTCCCCTGCAGGCTGGCTGGAACTTCACCTGGTCCCTCCTTTCCTGATTGAGCTGGGGGGGCAGCAGGTCACAGCTGTGACTCAGCTCTGGTAATGCAGCTTAACAAAGTGCTGCCAACCAGGTGAGTCATGCCAGGCACAGGGAGACCAAAGAAGAATTTGGCCTCCAGATGGTGGGACCCCTGTGGTTCTGGCTTTGCCTGTCTCAGTTATTGTCTTGATAATGGCTCTGGCAGGAAGCCAGGCAAAGTCTGCTTCTGACAGCACATGTCCCCTCCATGCACTGCTCTGCTGTCTGGGTGACGCCCACCAGTGACTAGGGTGTGTGCAGTCTGGGGGCAGGTGGCCAGGGCCTGGGTCTGTGTTTCTAGGGCTGAGCTAACTGGCTATCCCCATATTGGGGCCGAGTCATGTGGGAGGGGACCCCAGTGCTGATCTCAGTGCTCTGCAGAACGATGGCATGTTTAGGGGGCATCTGCCTGGGAGCAAGAAGGGTCCTTAGGTTTCCCTCCTCCCCTCTGGGGCCTCCGTCAATTCCTCTCTACTGTTATCTCAGAAACCCTATGCTGTTGCTACGTGTCATTGAGTCGGTACTGACTCATGTTGTTGTTAAGTGCCATCAAGTTGGTTTTGACCCATAACTACCCAGTATAGGGTTACTGATGAGTTGCTGGTGAGCTTGAACCGCCAACCTTGCTGTTCAAACCGACTTTGCGGTCCAGTGCATTAACCCACAGCACCATACTAGGACTCCGCAGCCCCGTAGGGTTTCCAAGGAGTAGTTGGTGGATTTGAACTGCCAAACTTGTGGTTTGCAGTCCAGTGCTGATCCAACAGTGCCACATCAGGAGTCTCAGAAACCCTATACTGGGTTGCTTTGAGTTAGAACCATCTCACAGCATTGAACAATAACAACGGCCTCAGGGGAGCACTGGCGTGGCATTGGAGGATAAGAACTGGACTGTAATTGCAAGGTCACTGAGTCAGAACCGACACTCGATGGTACACAATAACTATCCCAGGGATGTCCTTCCCCTTCCCCTGAGACTTAGGGACTAGGTGCCCTTTCCTGATAGCCGAGCTGACGTCTCACGATCTCTGGGGAAAGTCTGCGAACGCGGTTCAAAAAGCGCGGGAGGCACCAGCGCGTGCTGGGCACCAGGGGTCGCCCCTGTCCACTGAAGCCACCAGGGCGGCCCCGTGGCTGCGAGATCCCTAGAACCTGGCAGACTCGGGTGGGGCGAATGTGCTGAGGGAAAGGGGGGGGGGGGCACCCTGCTGGGGGCCTTGGGCACTGGGTCCCGCCAGGTCCAGCCCTTTCCACAGCAGAGGCTGGCAGCCGAGCAAGATGAGGACCTACCTAGGCGATCCACTGGCGCGTTCAACCCAGCAGACGGACACAGGCATCTGTACCTAGCGATGGGGACGCGCCTGGGACACAAAGGTCTTTCAGAGCCTCGTAGACTTCCTTTCCGGAGGCCGAGGCGACCATGCTGGGGTCGTGGGGCGGCCACCCGGAGGCTCCCCGGGGCCTTGCAGTCGCGCCCAGGACAGGGACTGGGGGGCTCCTCCCCACCGTCTCTAGTTTGCAGGACTGAATGACCTGAGTATGAAACTAGGCTCTCGGGGTGTCACCCAGCCCCACCCTCTGGAGCTCTGGGTTGGTGCAGCCATCTGTTTCGGGTTTCTAAACGATGACTGGACGCATCAGGATCGCCAGGGGTCAGTAAGTGGAAAGGACAGATTCCAGGGCCTCCCTACCCCTACAGCCTGAATGGGAATCTCAACGAGGGGCCCAGGAATCTGTATTTTGGGTAGTTTCCCCAGGGGAGTGGGGATGCACTGTTGTACACCTTTCTCCTTAGAAGAGTCTGGGGACAGAACTCACAGCTTCCTCAATCCATTAAAAGTTTTTTTCTCACGCTGATGGGGAAGTTCATTCTAAGTCTGCCTGCAAGCCCTCTTGCTTTAATTAAGCACATTTCCCCTCCAGTCTGGTTTTCTATGGGGATAACCAACAGGAAGGAAACTTCTCTTGCACCTGTTTGAGCTGAGCTATCCTGCCTCCTTTGAGGGACCTTCCTCAGGAGACTAGTTTTCCTTGTTGCACCTCTAAATGCAGCAGACCTATTTGATTTGGCCAAATGGTAAGAAAATCCAATAAAGCCACTAGCTTGTGAGTAAATGTGGTCCCTTGGGTAATGGCTGAGCGGGCCTCATCCAGGGTTTGAGATGGAAAACCCCAGAGGAACCTGGCAGAGAAAAGTTAGACCCTGAGAATCCCAGAAGAAACAAACCCCCCCTCGCCCCCCCCTCCCCCCGGGCTAGCCATCCTACGCCCTCTTCCCTGGTTGTGGGCCTCTTCCTTGGCTCCAGAATGAGTTAAAATTTGTATCTGCTCCACAGCCACATATCTGAACTGCCCTTCCTGATTGCTTTCTGCATCTACAGTTTCCCAAGCTTTGTGGGATTCTTTTGCCTCTGAGTGGTGGTCATGACTTCTTCCCACAGTATTCATTTCAGTTCAGTAACAGCAAAAGAGTAAATTAGCAAACACCCTCAAAATGACAAGGCTGACCCCCAAACCTACTTTCATTTTCTTCCGGCCTGGGTTGTGGACAATTTCTTGACAACTATGAGAAAGAAGACAATGAGAGATGAACTATAGTTTTTCATTTCCCAATGCAATTGTGAACAGAAGTATACTTTTCTAGTCTCAGGAATGTTTTAGGACTCCCTTACATCACCTTAAAGAGGCAGGGTGTGGGCGGGGTGCTGAGAGCAGAGTTAATACTCAGCATCAACAGGGCTTAGCTTAGTCCTAAAGACACCACCGAGGTAGCCTAGGTCACCTTTGCTGTCTCAGGGTTGCTAAATTTGGCAGTGGGAGCAGACTTGCTTCCTTTCAGCAATTGATCTGAATAGCAGCATCCCATTCGGAAGGTCCAAATCACATTTACAGGCCATGGGGGTGAAGGCCTTGCTAATTGGCCACTTGCCTCACCACTGGCTTTTAAACAATCAGTTGTATTCTCCGAGGGCAGGAAGCAGCAGGCTCATCAAGGCTCTTGGCTCCCTCTTTGTTCTGACTTTATGGCATTTTATGCCACAATGAGAAACACTGTGTACTCCGTGGGAGCCCATTGTGCCAGGCTACAAGGATGTGGGCTCCGGGGCAGAAGGGATACTGCTCTTCCTCTAGAGAAGAGGGGCTTTGTGATGTAGGCTGGGGGCAAAACAAGGAGAGCCAGACACTGTTTCTGGGAAAACTGCCTGGCCAGTGGGAGGCAGCTTTGGTTCCTGATTCCTTTTCTCTCCCACAGGCCAGGGGGAAGGGCTGAAGGAAGGATGCCATTTCTTCTAGAGGAGGAGGTCTTCAGTCCCTGGTAAATTACACATCATGATTAC